TCGCTCTACCCAACAAATCCAGCTCTGCTTTATTCACATTAAGAGTGTGTTTGGTAGGGATTTTTGGGGGAAGAATTGATTTTTGAATAGTGATATGATGGGAAATGTGTGGTTGAAAAATAAGAAAAAAGTATTGATGTGATGGAAAATATTATTTTATTGAAGAATGTATGGTTGAAAATGAGAATTGATTTACTGTAGAAAATGAGAATTTATGCCAAACAGGCTCTATATATTTTGTTATAATCTATCGGATAATGCTACACGGACAGCAAATTTATTACAGGAAACCTACAGAATTTTAAAAAGTCTGATGTGGCGCTGCAAAATTCTTTCAATTAAGCTAGTCTACCAGGTTATGGTTCACAGGTTGTTTCCAGGTAATTAAAAATTGTAGACACGTGTCAGCACCACAAGAAAACCAAAGGAAAGAAAAGGGTGGGAAACAATTACCTGCTACCTTCACCTTTTCACGTCATTTTTCCCCCAAAATGAAGAAGTCCCATTTCCTCCCTCCTACAAATCGCGACAGAGAAGCCCCAAATCCTTCTCCATCTCCCTCTTCATTTTCATGACAGAGAAGCCCCAAATCCCTCTCCATCTGCCTCTTCATTTTCGTGACCACGAAGCCCTAAATCCATCTCCATCTCCCTCTTCATTTTTGGCCCTAAATCGTGACCACAAAACTTGAAATACCTCACTTTCTCCGACCTCCGGCGACCTACTAGCACACCAAATCGTGTAAATCTCCTCTCCTGTGTGAAAATCTTGTGTTCTTTTAATTATCTCCAGTTGACCCGACTTCTGAATGGAGTGAACCCGTCGCCATCTCCTCTCTCATAGTCGACGCGATTTGGTGTATGCAGCAGGTAGTTTAATCAACAATAATTTCGGTTTGTGAAATGCTTCTAGTTGATTTAACGGAAGTTTTTTTTATTAGTTGATGGAATAAATGTTTGTTGTCGATTCCATCGTAGAATGGCAGGACTGTAAGACTATGTGACTCCGGAAGTGTTTTCAGGTCGAGGAGACTGCAAACGAAGGGAAACTTTTCAAGTGCTGCAGCGAGAAATCTAGCTTCTGACAGTGGGTTGAAGAAGGTGAGTCATGTGGCACCATATGCTCCGAAACAGATGCGGTGGAGGTAGTGCCCGAAATGGCACAGTTGTTTCAATCCGCACTTCAATTAAATGACGACGAAGAGGTCCGAATTTCGTTGCATATGAACGTGACAATCACTAAGATGAAATCAATGGAGAAAGGGAACGCCAAGGGGAAGGGTCGGCTTGAGTAGGTGCTCATTGTAGTCGACAGTCGGCTTGAGTAGGTGCCCGTTGTAGTTTTTTTGTTGATCAATTATGTTTTAAGTAAGGGTGGGTTAATGTTGTAGTCTATTGAAATGAGTGGAAGCACAACTACTTGTTCTATCTACCACTTGTGTTGTCGTTTGCAATTTTCGTAAATAAAAATCAGATTGGAGCTTCTACTTTGAATTGTTGAAACACTGAAATCAGATTGTTGACATGTTGAAATCAGATTGGTTGAATTGTTGAAGTAACATTGCGAACATGAGAAAACACAACATTGTCATCCATTTTTTTCCCCTTGTCATGGAAAGGGCAGATTCATTAGCAAAACAGACACAGTCCAAAAAAATTAAGGCTAACAATTCGACATTTGATACACCATCAGCAACCAATAATCATTACATAAATTTAAATATCCTTCATTTAACCAAAAAGAACCTCTGAAGTATAAAAAAAATATTTAACATCAATGAGCATCCATACAGTGAAGCTAAAATGTACAAAAATAGTCATGTACCCTCAAAAGGTTAGGCTTAAAAACTCCCAAGTCCAGTATCTCTTCCTCCTATACTTCAAAGGACTTTTCTTGGCTCAAAATGATAATTAGAAACCTATGGTGCTCAATAACATTATCAGATGCATCTGTTTTTCATTGGTTCCAATTCAAGCACCCATCTAATCTGCATATAACATAATTATGTATTAAAAAAAATGAAGGATTGAAATGAGTATCCATACATTGAAGCTAAAATGTCCAAAAATAGTCATGTACCCTCAAAATGTTAGGCTTAGAAACTTGAAGTCCAGTATCTCTTCCTCCTATATATACTTCAGAGGACTTTTTCACAGTCCTCTGCCAAAATCATGCTTGAACTGTGGATAATAGTAGCCTCAAAAGGTTAGGCTTAGAAACTCGAAGTCCAGTATCTCTTCCTCCTGTACTTCAGCGGATTTTTTCACAGTCCTCTGCCAAAATCATGCTCGAACTGTGGATAATAGTAGCTTGCCACGTGATCTATTTTCGAACAAGCATATTACTCCGTGCACATGAGAAATAAATTTAGCGACGATACTATACATAACCATTTCAAGTACCTTGCGAACTGGATACGAAAGTGGATGTCGGCGGAGTCAAATTCGAAGCCGGTAATTGTTGTGTCAATTCTTGACTTCCATTTCCACCCTATTTTGAATGATTACTTAGTAAGGCGTGAAACAAGTACAGGAATCAAACTTAAAATACTAACCAATAAGAGTTCAGAATATGAAAATGTTGCCGGAGTTGAAAAATCTTCTTCAAGGATTGCAGCCTGCATATTATCAGGATCAGTTGGCAAATTAGACTGATTTGTTTTCGATCTCCTTCCTTTGCTTGATGTCGGTGCAGTCTGCAGGTAAGGGAAATAATTTAAC